GCCAGGCAAAAGGGTGACCAAAGCACATATATATATATATATATAGTGCGTGTGGTTCAACATGAAACACTACCATAAACAAACCAACACATGAAAAACAACACAACTCAGACACATAAATATAACTATAAACATGACTAGAAAACTACATGTACATACTTGTCTAGGTCCTCCAGTAGAGAGGTTAGAAAAAGGGTGCCCCTTTTTCTGTTGCCTATTCTAGTAGGGGAACCCTCCCCCAAAAAAGAAACGGTAAAAGTGCACCTAGCTGGGGGACCGAGTTGTGGTCCTGTGTTTCTCCGGAAGGATGGGTGCCCAAAACCCGGCCTGTCGAGAAAACAAAAATCTATGGCATCTGAGAACAACAAAAAGGCTCTTGAAGGGTAGAGGGAGCGCAACATAAGGGCGTGTCATTTTTTTGAGGGTAGCTTGTTGGTAGGTTTTAAAGAGAAGCCAAGAGGAAGACCACCATTTTGGGGGGGTCCCCTAAAGAAAGACACTCAAATAATTAGAAACCCTAGTTGCAACTTCTTCTCTTCGACTTCGTCTGGTTTTTCTCAGGGTTGACTGGTCATGGGGGACTTCTTTTGTCTGGGGGTTGGTGTGGGGGTAAGCAAAGCACTCACCGATTCCTCTGGAACCATCTAAGTAGAACATCCCACAGTGGCAGGGTAGATTTGCTTCATGTGTGCCATGGTCAAACTTCTTGTGTCGGTGCTGGTCCTGGATCCCATTAGTAGGAGCCCGAAAACTTGGGCAGACTTAGACCCCCGGCAAAACATGACTTTTGCAAGGACCTCTCCAGGGGCAAAAAAGTGGGGTAAGTCTGGCAATCAGCAAGCCCAAGGAGCCTGTACAAGGAGCACCTGGACCCTAACTCCAACTCAAAGGTGGTTCTTGCTCAGAAGTTGTGGTTGGTGAATCATTCCCAACTCGTTTTTGTTTGGCAGCTTGAGGATTCAGGCATCTACCAACAGCCTTAGATATAGGTTAAAGAGCCCACCCACTTCCTGCAAGCCCCGCTTGCGCCTGTGGATTTGCAGCAAGCGCTTGGGAGCCAGCAGGCGGCTCAAAATGCCATCTGGCACAGGGTATTTTAACGCCCCAAGGCCCCGCAAACCCGGGGCGATTCCTTGTAGCAGCGTAGCCAAACAAAAAACGCCTCGCAAAAGCAACTGTGGTAATTAGTAAACGAGCTACCTTCTATAGCCTCACTCCCTGGACGGCCCCCCTCAAAAAAAACACACTTTTCGCTCCAAACCCAAAAAGCTTCCATCAAGTCCAAGTCCCGAAACTCCTGGGAGCTGATGAAATCATGTTGAGCTGTCAGGTGAGTCATATTTAAAACCGATCGGTGTTGGACTTCTCCGCCCAGAACCATGCTTCAAGAATTAAAACGGCGGCTGCGACCAATTATGGTTGGGATTGTCCCTTACTAACCTTCATCTAACGGGTTTTGCTTGTGACTCAGGCGTGTTTTCATGTTGCCCCCCATACTCATCAACCGATCTGTGTATGAATAGGAAGGGTGGAGGAGTTGCCCTCCTCCAAAGCTGGTCTGATTCCGAATCAAATTTAGTTGGACTCCGAGACCCGTAGCCGGGGTTGATTGATATGGCACCTTTATGCCACGAGAGGCGCAATCTGCGAGGTTCGATGGGTGGCTTGGTTCAAGGCCCAGGTGCAAAATTATCAGAAGGGCCCCGACGAACCCCTTCAATGGAGGCTCGAATCTAGGCTGGAAAAATCGGACCCCTGCAAAAAACATATATTATTTTTTGTTGCCTGGTTAGTGGAAAACAAAGGGAATCCAGGAAAGCAAAAAAGAACAAAACAAAAAAATAGCAATTCTGGGGAAGTAAAATGAGGCTTCGGGTGACATCCCATGCCACAGATTCTGCGGAAATGCGTCCACTGCATTTCATAGCAACTTCTCGGCTTTCTTCAGCTTGCCTAGGAGTTAATGCTCAGGCATTTGGGTGGCTTGGACTCTTGCAGCTACCGGAATAGGTGTTTTGTTTCCTCCTGCCATGGTTGTGGTTTCCCTGCGAGACATTTTCCAAAGGGGGATGACCGTCCCTAACCAAGGTCTCTTTGGACCGTTTGACAAATGTCCAAAGCAAGGACCCTCAAAGATGCCGGTTTTGGAAAGCCTCGCTGTAGTAGCCCTTAACGGGGGATCCCGCAAACGGGGGCGTCCCTGGGCAGTTTCGGGCAGTTGTCGCGCACACCTCTCAGCACATCCGGTTTGTCGGGCTGCCTGAAACTGCCTGAAATCCAAACCCGTTGAGGCGACCCCCGTTAAGGGCTCTCTGATGTTACCTAAGACTTGTTTCGTCCCGACAAAAGCTACCAGTGATGACCGTGCCCCGTTAAACACAGTAGATAATGAACAATTTCACCTCCTCTCATTTCCCACGGCTTCAAACTTTGACCTGACGAGGAAGAGGCCGGAGGCCGATTCCGCTCTCGGAGGGAACCCTCAAAAGGAGCTGTTTGTTCCCAAAAGGATTCCCTCAGAAAGACCCAAAGACACACTTCCCACCTTTTTTGTCGAGGTTCACGCGTTTTTTTTTGGCGAGGTTCAATTTTTAAGCGCTTGTCGTGGTTAAGCCGCGCCCTCAAATCTGTACCCGAACTTGCCAAGCTGCGTCTGCCACGAAATTTAAACCCTGCCAAACCTCCGTGAGTCTGTTTAGCAATCTATCTGGCTGTCTATCTATCTATCTATCTATCTATCTATCTAGCTCGCTTCATCAAAATATCAATTCGAAAACTACTTTTGTACTTGACTTTTCGAGCTGCAGCTGGACAAGTGTACTTCGAATACTACTATTGTACTTATTGTTTGCGATTTTTGAGCTGCAACTGAAAAAAATATAATCGTACCTTCAATCACAACTCAGACTTGTTGCTTGCCATGGGATAAACGGGTATCTTCTAGGTCCTCCAGAGAGGTTGGAATAAGGGTATCCGATTTTTTTCTGTACTCAATTTTAGTAGGGTCCCGAACCCTCCCAACCAAAAAAAGGGGTGAGAAGGGGCACCGAGCTGTGGGGACCAAGTCTTGTTTTTGGGTGCTTCAGCGCGCCACTGGTCTGGGTTTTAAACTTGGGCCTTCCCGAGGTCCCCGAAACCCATGGGAAACAAAGCAGCGACTTCCTGTTGCTCGGTATTTCGGAAAACCAAACACGGAACACCACCGAAACTCTTCTTGGTGCGCCCTTCTTTGACTCTGCTGCCCTCAGATCCCCTGCCAACAGTTGAAAACTTTTGGTGGGTGTAATGGAAACCCCCCACTCAACGGCTAAAAAACCACCAAGTTGAGACACACCTAGTTTCAATACTTCCAAGCCTGGGCCAACCCGAAGGCGCAAATCGCATGGGTTTGACCACATCTCGCACTGGTCGAGCTCGACACTGGACACAGTCCATTCAAGCGACATCTTATTTCTCGCATGGCGGGTTTCGCTTTCTTTGGATTCTCACCCTCACACTCACCTCTTGCCCCTGCCCAACAAAGTACTGTCGGGCAAATGGAAACCTGGCCTATCATCTCATGCACCATGCCCGTCACGTCGAGGCTCCGCAACTCGTCGCTGGCGCCTGCCAGCAAAGAACAACGAGAAACTTCCTCCATGGATTTGCCGAGAAGCATATGGGTATGGGTCAAAATTATCCCGCGAGATGGGTCATCCGCAGGTTGTAGTCAACTTTCCAGTTACCCATTGGTCAACGCATTTTGGGGTTACCCCAGGTTTGACCACTATGGGTTTTGTCTCAAAAAGCCCTAAGAGCTGGCTTCCTTGTGTCCCCAACAGACGCCAAGAAAGACCGCACCCCTGTTCCTTTCCTTTGCGGCGTACAGGCAAGGGTAAATGATGACTGAAGCCCCTGTTGGGCATATGGCCCTCCCCGAAAATTCATGGCCTTAAGCTCAAGAAAGCGAATCAGACACCTGGGGTCACTGGGAGAGGATGGCCATCGATTTTCACATGCAGCATATGGGTCTGTGCCAAAATAAGGTGCTTGGAGCTATGATTCGTGGTATGGTTCGGGGGTATGGTTCGCACAGGTCGAACTTTCATCCTTTACTAAACCTTGCGCACCTTAAGAAAGGCACACCCATATTGCAGGAGAGACGAAAGTCGGTCGCAAGTCGCGGATCTCAGCGAGCTGACCCAGAGGAACTGGTGATGAGAAAGAGAGTGAGCATTCCCTTGACCTCTTCCAGTCTTCTGTGACAGTCTTCTCTTTACCCCCGAGTTCAAACCCCGAGCAATTATTAATAGATGGAGTAGGCTTGAGGACATGAGATGCCTTCCATCAGCACTCACTTCCAAGCTAGTGAATGGGACGAACCTAAAGGAAACACCCAAGTAGGGTGAGCACGATCATGGGCTGGCCTCTAAATGGGACCCCCAAAACAGGAGGCTTTTGCGTTCTTGACACCAGTCAAAGCAGAACTTCCGAATGCCCTTGATCGGCATTCAGGGAAGTTCAACAGCTACTACCTCGAACTTTGTGCCTGGCCTCAAACAAATGCAAGCTCCGCACATGCCGCCCTTGTCTCTTCCGCTTTGACAAAAAACCGCCAGCTCCGAAATGTCAATAGCTACTTGCATTTTGAACTGTTTGCCTATATATAGACTCAAAAAACCGCAAGCTCCGCAATGCCGCCCTTCTCTCCCTTTCCTTCGCGCGCTCGCTCGCGACGTGGGATGCATGGCAAAATCGGCCAACTCGAATTGGCCAAGTCTAAGAGGCTCCGGCTTCCAATGGAAGACGCCCCCAACGCACAGGGGTTGGAAGCTTCAACGCCTGGTTGGATGCGGATCGTAGAACCACTGGTGCTGATTTGGATTGGAGCTGAGGGGAACACCCCACTCAATAGGACAGGTTCATGTCAGACGTGAAGGTCCCTAAGAATCTACCATATGACCACATGGGCCTTGTTCAGATCAACCTTCTCACTTCCGGAATAAATTGGCCAAACAATATGTCTGAGCATCAGTCAGTTGGTTCTACTCAGTCCTAACTTTACGCAACTCGCTGGCGCTTAGAAGATGAACTCGCTCCGTTCGACGCTTTCCGCGCGGGGCCCAGAACCATCTCCAATAGCTCTGGGCCCTCAACGTCTGGAAGCGTCATCTGAAGCCTCAGCTCCAGACCATCCCCCCCGCCCCCCGCGCCCCCCGCCCAGATGTCACTAGATAAATATATAATTACATACATAAGTTGATTCTGTTTGGGGGGGGACCCCTCCAAATTGTGGTTTTCCCTTTGGTTTCCCTCTAAAACCCCTGAACAAAACGGTACCCTCAAAACACACCACATCCAAGTAAACAACTAAGCACATAAGTTGTTCATAGGATATAGCGCCCGGAACCCGAAAGGAACTCCCTTGAGCCCCAAAAGAACTCCAAACCAGTTCCGTTGGTTCCAGGCACCCTCCGTGAGGACTGTTGGGCCAACATCTGCTATGATTGACCAAAGGGCCCCTCAGAAAATCGGGTTCTTTCGGAACCTAAACATGGGGCTCGTGCTTGGTGTAGTCATGGTACCTCTTGTGAAAGGGGGGGGTTAAAAAGAAACCAATCTAGGAGCCCCACGGTTTGTTTTGGCGCGGTTTGACACATACCGATCCATCGGTTGGAGCCTCTTTTGGGTGCAAACATGTCAATGGGCCGCCCTGGCTTTTCGGATTTTCCGAAGTCTGACAGGTCAAAACGTCCCCAGGTCCTCCAGTAGTGATTAGTTTAAGGGTACCATTTTTTTTCTGTAGTCTATTTTAGTAGGGGACCCCTCCCAACCAAAACAAGGGTAAAAGGGCACTGGGGACCTAGTCCCTTCAGGCGGATTCTGGGCCTCGCATCGAGGGCCTCCATGATTTTGCTGGTGCGAAATCGGTAGGGAATGGAATGAACCCAGGAGTCCGTCCCCCAGGAAGCCACAGTTGGATGCTTCCTGTTTGGGCCATTCCATTTCTCATTCCCCCCATCTATCTCGCACCGATCGCAAGTTTTTTACAAAATAAAAAACGATCCCCCCGACTTCAGCGCGCCGGAGATTCCTCCAAAGGGAAACCCAGCCAGCGCCTGGAGGAGACGACCGAAACGAGGCCCCATCCATTCAGTGGACCCATCAGAAGCCGTTCAACCTGGGCTTCCGATTTATGTCTTTGAACATCACCAAAAGGAGACTCAATCCAAAAGGCAATATCTAAAAGAACCTTTCCAGAGAAAACATGGCGAAGCGTAGCCAACTGCACCTCAGTCTGCACCTCCCTTCGAGGCTACCCCTTGGTTTCGATTTCTCCGTGGAAAACGACCGACGTCGACGTCTCGGTCGCGTCTCGTCTCGGTGTTTGTGCTGGTCCGAGGGGCTGATAATTCGCGGGGTCCGTGGCCCCCTCGGTGTTAATCAACAGAACTTTGCTCTCGGAGTTCAAGCCCAGCTCCTCCCGCCACGACGCCTCGGAAGCTTCTTTTTTTTCTCGCCGAGGGAGCGATGCTACTTGTTTCGCGTTTGTTTCTAGAAATACCGGGGACTCGAGGTGGCGAATCTGCGGATCCACCCCTGTAGGATGCGAAAAAAGTACAAAAATACTGCTACAAAAGGACCAACCAGGGGAAGAAGAGGCAACATCCGCAAAAAAAAACGCATCCAACGAACCGGTTTCAAGATTGTCGGCGTCCAGTTCAAACAGAAAGTAAGTAGATCCCCGTTTATGAAAAGACCGGACAAACAAAATACACACACACATATGATTTAAAAATTCGCACGTCCCCACATTTGAAGCTACACCAATGTGTTGTGTGCTTTAAATATAGCAATAAAGCAGGGACCATGCCGGGCAAGGCAACAGGTCAAAAGGTCGATTCGCTTTGAGCAACAAACCACAAAAAGGGCCACCCTCAAAAAAGGCAGACTTGGCCCGGGTTACGCAGAACCGATGTTGTTGTTTTTTTTGGGGGGGTGTCCCATTGATTGAGATGGATTTTCGGGGGAAGCAGCCCCTGTTAATCTAATCGATTCGGATGAAATCTGTGGATGGATGGACAAATCCCTGCCAGGCAGTTGGGATCGATCAATCATACCGACATTTGCAAGGATTGTGTCCACAGTTTAAGCCATGGTCAAAACTTCGAAGACTCCCCGAACCCAGTGGATGCATGTCCTGCAGAGTAGGCTGGGATCCGCTGGGCAAGAGATGGGACATTTGTTGAGTCTCCTGGGTTTTGCGGTTGAACAAATTGGTCGCGTAACTCCTCTTCCGCTTAAAATATGGGAATTTAAAATTGGATGACCTATCGACTTCTGGTTCTACCAATGTGCCTATAAAGGTTCATATGGCCCTCGCTACCCAATATGAAACAAGGTAGAACCACTCACCGCGTTTTTTGTTTGTTTGTTTTTTGTGTTTTGTTTTGGGGGGGGGGGGCGCTGCAATGTGCTCTATCATGGGTTCAGTTGGATGCTACACCCGTCTACTAGAACCCAAACGGGAAGGACACACTGGGAAACATAGTTGCAGAACAGACTCCCCAGTTTCAACCTGAAGGCAAACACCAGGCGGCCAGTGGAGGTTTATGGGATGTACACCCAGGATAAACAAACACCAAGAGAGATGGTGGAGAAGTTCCTTGGATATGGATGAAATCCATTTCGCACTGTTCAGAAACCCTTGATTCGAGTCCTCTATAAATACCAGCCAACAATGTGTTCTTTCCGCTGGTTCCACTTCCGTGGTGAAATCGAACGGACTTCGCGTCACCATCTACAGTAGGAAACCCTTTCTGCGGAAAGAGTACGCCATGAGGCTGGGGTTGCCTTTGCCATTGGGGGCTAAACCCAGTTGGACGGACAAAATCCTGCACCGCCCAAGAAAGTCTGGAATCGTACGACCCCTGCATTTCTGGAGGTTTTGTAGAAGGAAGGATCCCTTGACTTATTTGGGCTCCTCCCCCTCTCCCTCCCCCCACCCTCCCTCCCTCCCTCCCCTCCCTCCCACCCTCCCGCCCTCCCTCCCTCCCCTCCCTCCCGCCCTCCCTCCCGCCCTCCCTCCGCCCTCCCTCCCCTCCCTCCCGCCCTCCGCCTCCCTCCCTCCCCTCCCTCCCTCCCCTCCCTCCTGCCCTCCCTCCCGCCCTCCCTCCCGCCCTCCCTCCCCTCCCTGCCGCCCTTTGCGTCCCGCGCGCCGCAAGCTCCCAGGTTGGCAGCTCGTTGGCCTTCGCCACCCGCCAGTGCCCCTTCTCCCTTCTCCGCCGCCTGCAAAGATGACTTTGCGGCTTTGACGGCTTCGCGCGCCTCACTGCGAGCCGCCTTCTTCTCGTCCGTGAGCTTCCGCTTGCGCGTCGGCTCAGTCTCCTGCGGCGACAAAGGGGTTTTGCGTGTTGTATTGAGGCCCGCCCCCAAAAAAAGACGTTTTTTTGTTTTTATAAACAACGCGTTCATTTCAAAGTTGCAAGGTTGCGGCGCGAACCAACAGAACGCAAGGCCCCCGAAAAACAATTTTGGCTTGGTGGTCGTTAGTTATTAGGGAAGGGCGTTGAGGGCTCGCGCCTTGTACTCGCGCTCCGCTTTCGCGAGCCGCTGTCGTGCCAGTCGCACGGGCGCCTCCAGCGCCTGCGGGCGGTCGAGGCCGGTCTTCCGAGCAGGCTGCGACATGGTTGGTGGA